GCAGATGGAAGGGCCGGGACCTGCATCGGCAGAACACGCAACGAACCACCACGCGTGGGACAATGCTCTGCCAGGGGAGATTGGAGGCCAAGACAAGCTTCACTGGGATAGCGCGTACGTTAAAGGAGGTAGACGGCGCTCAGCAGGAGCGCTTCGTGGAGGAATCTTCTGGGCTTTGCTGTCTGTGCTCATTCCCGCTTTGATAATTTCAGCATTGCGGACAATATGCAGAGCTTCAGTGTCTGCCTCCACCAACGGAATGGCAGGAGCGTCGACTCGCAGGCTGTCGGACAACAGCCGAAGTAGCCAAGAAGATAGAACTATATCACGACTCATAGAAGAGTGCGCAGCTATGGAGGCGGACCTGGGACTCCCCTTAGTCCAAGAAAGCTATCCAGCTCAAGAGCTGGACGAAACTGAACAGGTTAGAAGGATTGCCTTCTCTTTGTATCAGGAGAGCTTAGCTTTTGAGCAGCAGGTTCTACAATCCCAACCAGCGGTCTACGGCAATGCCAGTTATTTGACGCCCTCCCCTGCCAGGATGCATTTTGAACACCAGCATGCGCAGGGGGCAGTGCCCATGACAGTCCCGCAATATGTTGATTACGGTCCCCAGCATGTAACTACTGACTTGACGGCTTCAGAATTTCAGCCTGGAGTTATTCCGCATGAAGCTTTGGCTTCCTCTCCCCAGCCTCATAGTGGAGTTTCTCTCCCTCGCCTTCCCGGCACCCAACCTTTCTCTGCAGATTCCTCGCCTTTTCTGTGGTCCCCTCAGGGTGCGTTTGCTAGCCCCCAACACAGTGATTCAGCTCCCGAGCCTCATGCGGGTCGCCAGTCCCTCGTTGAAGCTCCCCTTCCCGTTGGCTTGCTTACTCAGACTGCAGCACTGTTGCCTCAGAATGTTGCACGACCTAGCTTAGGGGAGAAAATCTATGTAGGAAGACCAGGGGAGGCGTATTCACTTGAACCTGATTCCTGGCTGGAAAGTGTGCCAGTGATCGGTGGTTCGCAAGAGGTGCAAAGACAGAGCCAGGCAGTGTCACTTAACTTTCCGTCTCCAGGCCAGGCCGCGCCTTGCTCAAGCGCTGCATACCAGTTCTCCGCAGGAGCAGCAAGTTCAGGAGATGCAAGCTGGAGCACCTCAACAGCGTCACCAGGTGGAGCCGGCGAGGCGTCCGCAGCAACAGCAGAGGAAGATGGAGCAGGCGGGGTTTCCGCAGCAGCAGGAGCAGCAGAAGCGGCAACAGCTGGCCTTCAGCCTTCCTGGGTTTTCAGGCATCCGTTTGTCCAATTGCCTGTTTTGCTTGAGGGAGTGGCGACGCCGCTCATTCGGCTGTCGCCTTCGAATTTTGAAACAATCAGCACCTTGTCAGTCCATGACACTTTGCTTTCGCTTCGTTACATGTTCATGAGGCAAGCGCTGAACGACGTTGAGGCTGGCTTTCTTGCGGGGTACGTCCAGCAACTTGCCGTTGCGTCGGCCGCTCGTGCGCGGGCTGCCAAACGGATGGCCCGCGCCGGACATGGTGTGGTGAACATCGGGCAACAGTTTTTGGTTTTAGACGCCATTGTCTCAGCAATGTACGTCCTAGGGGAGTCGCCGCCTTCTTGCACGTGGTGGAAGGCCTTTATCGAATGCTTCGATACGGGCTACCGGTACAGCGGACCAGGGCATCGCACTACAGAGAGTGGCATCGTCAACATCGACGTCGCCAATCGTATGTTGGCCTGCATGTCCGCCTACAAAGCAGGAAAGCGGCCACAGCTTGAGGAGATTATAGATCTGAAGCTGATCCTCTTCTTTTCGCCTCACATGCCTATTCGGTTCAAAAGCGCCAAGTGGGACCCGTGGCGGCAAGACCATTTGCTGTTTCAAAAGGAAAATCCGGCGGTATCTGAATGGCTGATGAAGCGACTGCGCACGGTGTCCTAACGATTAACACTTTGGAGATGAGCAGGAGCACGAGCGCGAACTGTGGTGACATCTGGGGGTCCATAGGCGTGACGATAAACCCATTCTTGCACGTGGAGCTTGCAGGGCAGCAGGCCTAGAGGGCCCGCAAGGTTTTGAATAAGGATGAACCGGGGCAACGATATTTTAAGAAGGACACCTGGTGACTTTCCCTGTCAAGTAACACGAACCGTGACGCTGTCTTTTTTGGTTGGCGGATGGGCGCTTGCCGTGCAGTCTNTCCCTGTCAAGTAACACGAACCGTGACGCTGTCTTTTTTGGTTGGCGGATGGGCGCTTGCCGTGCAGTCTTCACGACCTTGGTTCCTTTTGGCTGCGCTGGGCATCTGTCTCCAGCTTATTGCGTATACTGCCGTTTACTTCCCTCGTAAAACGTCGATACATTACGCACAATCTGCTGCTTTGCTCCCTGCGAGCTAGCACTGTGCAGTAGGCAGTAAACGGGGCACTTCTCAGACTGTCAAGTGTGGCTTGGAGGAACTGGCATAGGGCATGCATTCGCTGCACGCTGCTGCACGCTGCAGTTGCACTCTGCACCAGGGCTGCGTTGTTCTTCTACACGTGCTACGATACACGACGTGGGCATCAACACAGGCGGATCGGATGCAGCCGGAATCACAGACAATTCACAGGCCGGGGGTTGGACTCCAATCTATTCCTGTGTACTGCCAAGGCAATCTAAGAAGAGACCCGATCATTCTTGAACAATTCATGTGGTGCCCACCTTGGGATCATCGAGACCGAAGTCTGGGGGAGAAAGGACTAAACTTACACAGCGAGCCGCTTACACCGAAGACCAGTGCTGACTGGGAAATATGAGTGCCCAAGCACAAAGGCGTTGCCCGCAGCCGTCTGCAACAAGCCGGTGACAAGACGGCGGCGCCGCCGTGGATACACGGCAGCTTAAGCACGTGGCGAATGGCGCCTTGGTAAAGTGCGTTGTGCGAAGGATGGGCTTTCCACAAGCGCCACACACGCAGGGGTGCAGCGCATGACGATCCGCAGGTCAGTTCGAGTTCTCCAAGT